ATATACGAACTAGGCTTAAGTCCTATTACACAAGAATGAGCTAGAGTGTGTATTTCTGAACCGTTATTACCAAGCCATCAAGGTACCATTCATGGCTAAAGGGGTAGGGATAATCTCCTCTGGAAATAGGAAGATCAGACTGATAAGAAAACAAAGCTAATGACTAAGTCAACAAGAGTGGAAGAGTTCAGAACTGTGATTTCTCCTCTACTCTGTATAATAGAACTGCCAATGGACTATTTTAAAATGTCAGAGGCCTAGCATATTAAATCTGAACATCTGGGAGGGCAAGCACACACTGGTATTTTTTTAAAGTGTAATCTCTTTCCTCAGCCACTTTTCTTGGGTGCTGTGGACTCCCTCCAGCTTTTTCTCTCTGCATTCAAGTAGTAAGAGAAAATAATGAACCTACGTATGGCCGATAGAATTAGAGAGTGCCTGTATTACCTCTACATTAACAATAAGGAAAATAATTTAAATAAAACTACATATAAGTATGTAGCCTGCATTTTACTGCTGGGTTGAGAGTTTCCTGAGAAAAACAGACCCTACGAAGTTAGTCACAGGCTGTTGCCAAATGAAGATCAAAGTTGTATGAAAAATTTTTAAAAATCTAACATAAGCCAGTGAAGGCAGCCTACAGAATGGGAGAAGATATTTGCAAATGACATATTTGATAAAGTGTTAGTACCGAAAATAAAGAACTGATATAACTCAACACCCAAAAAAACAAATATTCCTATTAAAAAATGGGAAGAATGAACATTTTTCCAAAGAAGACATCCAGATGGCCTACAGACACATAAAAAGATGCCCCACATCACTTATCATCAGGGAAATGCAAATCAAAACTACAATGAGATACCACCTCACACTATCAGAATGGCTAAAATCAAAAACACAAGAAACCACAAGTGCTGGTGAGGTTATGGATAATAAGGAACCCTCATGCACTGGTGGTGGGAACGCAAACTCGTGCGGCCAGGCCACTGTGGAAAACAGCATAGAGTTTCCTCAAAAAGTTAAAAACAGAACTACTCTATAATCCAGTAGTGGGTATTCAGCCAAAAAATTCAAAAACATTAATTTAAAGGGATACATGCAACCCTATATTTATAGTGCCATTATTTACAATAGCCAAATTATGGAAGCAGCCCAAGTGTCCATCAATAGATGAAAGGATAAAGATGATGTGGGGTGTACATATAAACATATATATGTACATATATAATATTCTGTGTGTGTATATGATGGGCGAATATTATTCAGCCATTAAAAAAAGAATGAAATCTTGCCCTTTGAAACATGGATGGAGCTAGAAAGTATAATGCTAAGCAAAATGTCTGTCAGAGAAAGGCAAATACCATATGTTTTCACTCCTATGTAGAATTTAAGAATAAAAAAACAAATGAATGAATAAAAAAAGAGGGACACCTGGGTGGCTCAGTCAGTTAAGTGTCCGACTTCAGCTCAGGTTATGATCTCACGGTTCATGGGTTCGAGCCCCACGTCAGGCTCTGTGCTGATAGCTCAGAACCTGGTGCCTGCTTCGGATTCTGTCTCCCCTCTCTCTGCCCCTCCCCTGATCACACTCTATCTCTCTGTCTCTCAAAAATAAATAAATGTTAAAAAAAATTTTTTTTAATAAAAAAGAGAGAGACAGAAACAGACTCTTAACTACAGAGAAACTGGTGGTTACCAGAGTGGAGGTGGGTGGGGCGGGTGGGTGAAATAGGTGAAGGGGATTAAGAGTACATCTGTCATGATGAGCACTGAGTAATGTATAGAATTGTTGAATCACTATATTGTACGCCTGAAACTAATTTAACATTACGTCAACTATCCTGTATTAAAATTTTTAAACTTAAAAAAAGATTTTTAAAAATCTAACAGAGACATGTGGGTGGCTCAGTCGGTTAAGCGTCCAACTTCCGGTCAGGTCATGATCTCATGGTTCAAGAGTTCCAGCCCCACGTAAGGCTTTATACTAACAGCTCAGAGCCTGGAGCCTGCTTCAGATTCTGTGTCTCTCTCTCTCTGCCTCTCCCTCACACACACACACACACACACACACACACACACTCTCTCTCTCTCTCTCTCTCAAAAATAAATATTTAAAAATTTAAAAACCTGACATAAATCAGTGGGAAAACAGACTTTGCTGTATTAACTTCATTTGACATACCTACTCATCTACTCAGAAACACATCTACTCAGTGTGGGCACATACCACTGTATAAAAAGCAAGAGAAATAGCAAAACGTGAATCTATGCTTCAACTCAGGAACCAAACACAAATGAACTTAAACAAAAAGCTGACTTCAATACCTTTTTATTCTGGAATTTAGAGAGACAAGAATATTACAAAACTTCCAACTTAGTGACTCCACTTTCTTGCTTCCCATTCTAATCTTTTCCAATCTTGCTTCCATCCCTGCTTTTATAAAGTTTCCAATGATCATACTGTTAGATGGGACCATCACCAGCCACCCAGTCGCTAAAGTAAAAAACCTACAAATTATCCCTAATGCCTCCCTCTCCCTCACCACCTTTAGTCAGTGCAACAGCAGGTCCTGTCAATTACTCCTCCCAAACATCTACTGAAGCTTTCTATTTCTTTCCAGCTTTTCTAATCCCACTCCAGGCCAAGCCACTAAGGTATGTGGCCTGGACCACTGCCACCATCTCTGAACCTGTCTCCCTGCTTCCACTCAGACTCCTGCACAGCGCATGCTACCCCTGCAGCAAGAGCAGTGAAGACATCATTTATATTGTGTCACTGCCCTCATTTTTTTTTAAATTCAAAGTAATCTCTATACCCAGCGTGGGGCTCAAACTCACAATCCCGAGTTCAAGAGTTGCATACTGCACTGACTGAGCTAAGCAGCTGCCCCTGTCACTGTGCTCTTTAAGAGCCTCCAAAGGCGCCTGGGTGGTTCAGTAGGTTGAGTGACCGATTCGTGATTGTGGCTCAGGACATGATCTCGTGGTTCGTGGGATGGAGCCCCAAACTGGGCTCTATGTTCACAGAGTGGAGCCTCCTTGGGCTTCTCTCTATCCCTCGGTCTGTCTGCCCCTCCCCCGTTCACACGCAGGCTCTTTCTTTCAAAATAAACATTAAATGAATGAACAAATGAATGAATGCAAGCCTCCAAAGGCCTTTAATAACATCAGGAAAAGTCCAAATGCTTTCTTATCAGAGCCCTCAAGGTCCCTTCAGCATCTAGCTGCCGCCTACTTTCCCAACATGCTTCCTTATGGACCTCCTCCACGCTCTGGCCCTCATCTCAAATATTTAAAGCATCTGCTACTTCTGACTGCCCAGCATACTCTTCCCGACCTCTTCACATAACTACCTCCTCTTGTCCTTCAGATTCCAATTCAAAGGACCCTTCCTGATGGGGCTCTTCACCGACTCTTTTCACCACCTACCACTTGACACTGCTTATGTTCTTCATGTTGATCACAATCTGGCAAAGTGTAGGCGGGGCCTCAGAGGTGGGCTGTCTTCTTTCTTCTAGAACCACTGTATGCTTGTGACATATAATGGGCACTCCCGTTTTTGTTTTAATCAATCAATACTCCAACGGAGGCATGGTTTATAGCATGCACCCGGAAATGAAATTACCAGGGCTCTAGTCCAGCGTTGGCGTTACCAGCAGTTAGCAGTGTGGACTTGGGCACACCAGAAGATTGAGTGGGTTAAGAGCAGACCGTAAGAAACAGCAAGGTTTTTTTTTATATATAAATTTCATGTATCTAAATTCAGAATATAGACCTGTGAAAGCATCTGACCTCTTTGAATCTGTTTCCTCATTTGTAGATTACTTTGAATGTCACTTTCAGCTCAAAACCACTAGAATTGTAATAGGCCTCAATCTGCTTTCCAACCTAATTTTCCTTACTTACCCCGCATTTACACTCTGCAACTCAGCGTCACACAGCGTACCTTACTGCCTAGACATTTGCTCATTCTGCCGTCTCCTCTCCAACTTCAACCACTGGAAATTATCCTGTAAAGCCTAGATCAATTATTAACTGCCTCATAAAGTCTGAGTCAATCACCTGGCCCAAAAGTGGTGTGCTGGCGAGGTGTTTCTAAAACTCTTTTATGCTTTAAATTAGAATAGTCCCTAATCTCTCTCCGCCTCAGTTTCCAAACCATAAAATGTCTACCATCCCACATACTATTGCTGGATAATTGAGGATACTTAGCTTGATAATAAAGCTTTCAATAAATGTTTTATCTGTTGCTACATATATTTTCCGTTCTCCTGGAGAGCCACCAAATGACTTTTCCATTTCTGAGTCTCAAACGTTTGAAGCCATTATTTCTCCCAATGCCTTATGAAGAGGTTTCCCTACTCATAAAATGAAGGGAGTGGACTAGACCAATCACCATTCTAACACCAAGTCCTCTATACTTACATGAAGAGCCTACAAAGATCCCGCACGTGAGCTTCTCTAACACAAACAGCTTAAAGCAAAGGCAAAGCAGGTAAGCTTCTGTAAGGACGGGAATTCAAGGGAAACCAACTACAACTGCACATGCAAGTGGGCTGGAAGCACTAACTGATCGAGACTTTGGGGATCCTCTCTAAAGAAACTGACCCTTGCCACAACAATGGGGCCTCTGGATTGTTGTTTTTAAGTTAGTGGACAGATACTTAAAGGAATCAGCACGAAAATGATGAAGAGACCAGTCGCGTTAAGAAGGAAATGTTTGTTAGCCACAAACGGACGGCAGCTTAGACAACAAACCCAAGGCCTTTCACCTAACCGGAGCCCCAAGGAGCGGGCAGATGACCTAAGACCGCAGGGAAGAAGCTGGGGCCGCCAGAAACCCTAAAGCAGCCAGCCGGGCGGGCGGGAGCAGCCGTCTGCGGAAGCGGTGCAACCTCAGCGCTCGGCACCTTTCCCAGGCCGGCCCCCAGCCGCAGGACCACAGTCAGATACCCGGGCCCAGACTCCTCTGCAACCCCCGCGTCCCGCCCCCGTACCTGCGGGGTCGAGCGCCATCTCCACAGGAGGAGAGGAAAGCGGCCCGCGGCCGCTCCCGGGCTGGGGGAGGGAAGGGGAGGAGCCTGGGCTGGGAGGCACGTGCGGCCGCCGAGAGCTTCCCTCCCGAGGAGGCGACGGAGGAGGAACGCGGTGCCCTTCGCGGAGCCAGGCAGGCCCCTTCCTTCTGATTTCCCTGGTCGCTACTTCCGCTGCCCATTGCGCCTGCGCCCTTCTGGCCCCACCCCCGAAGCCTGGAGCGGACTTTGCCGAGGGAATGACCGGGAAGGGGGCGTGGCCTTGTGTGCCCTGGGGGCGGCATGTCTCAGACGCGCGGAGCCTCGCTTGGGGCGGAGCGCTAAGCGCCCGCTTGCAGACCCGGGTCTGCGGAGCCCGGGGCCCAAGCTGTTGGCCTTTGAGAGTGCGCCTCCCGTGGCTACTAAGTTCACAGCCAAACCCGTCCCTCCACTCCCGTCTTCGGAGGAAGGAATGAATCATCCCGGGTGTTTTGTCTTCGTTAACGTTCATTCATTCATGAATGTCTGTTTCATGCCGGCCAGGTTCCAGCCACGGTTCTGAATGCGAGGGGGTAAATCACAAAGTAGAAATAAGGTCCCTATTTTCGAGAAGTATCATCGTGTTGACAGGGGAGTCAGATACAAGCAACATGCTGTTAAATGTCAAACGCCACACGTGCGAGATACGCACAGCTTGTTCTACAGAGGTGGTATATGGTTGGTGTAGTATCATTATTTGCCCCACAAATCAGCCCCCTGTGGCTCCCCTGGAGGAGAAAATAAAACGCTGGGCGCTAGGAAATATTATCCTTAGGGCGTACAGCCTGGTTTGGATGATGTTACAAATCCCGATTCTGCCAGTTAAAGCTGTATGTTTTCCAGAAAAAAATGAAGGAAGATGATAGCTATATTCCAGAAGAGCCCCAAGTACCCTCTTCTCAATAAAAGAAACTTTTGGTGGCAGTTATGCTCGTTCCCATTCACCAGCCCTCAGAAATACTTCCTTGTCACATCCACGTTTAGCTAGTTCAAGCCTCCAAAAGGTGAGGTGCCGCCCCGGGGACAGATGGGACAGATGTTGGAAAAAGAAGGAGCAGCTGCTTCTTCCCTGGCAGGGATTTAGAGCTTTCAAAATGATCCCCTCCCCACCGACCTGCGGTCCCTCCTCCCCTGCTGCTGCTTCAGCCTGGTCAGTTGGCAGAGAAAGCAGCCGCCAGTCGAGCCGGGCTGAGAAAGTGGGTCTCTACCCAGCAGGTCTTCCGTTTAAGGGCCTATTTGGGCATAACGGCCCTTATTACAGCTGTAGGTTGAGATGCCAAGGTGAAGAATTAATGTTTCACTCAGCCAGGCAGGAAAGCAGGTTTTCTTGTGTGTTTTATAAATGGGTTTTGAAACACACCAGATTCATTCTGATGCCCCTTTTCTTTTTCTGGAGATGGAGGATTTGGTTTAGAAAATAAATATTTCGGGGGCACCTGGGTGGCTCAGTAGGTTAAGCAGCCGATGTCAGCTCAGGTCATGATTTCAGCGTTCGTGGGTTCGAGCCCCGCGTCGGGCTCTGTGCTGACAGCTCAGAGCCTGGAGCCTGTTTCAGATTCTGTGTCTCCCTCTCTCTGACCCTCCCCTGTTCATGCTGTCTCTCTCTCTATCTCTCTCTCTCTCTCTCAGAAATAAATTTTTTAAAAAAAGAAAAATATTTTTAAGGAGATAAGGTGGGATATAAAGACGAAAGCCAGATATTCACACTTGGGTAATTAAACTAAACCCTCCTCTATATGCAAAACAATGTCAGGGAGAGCTTTGGCAGGAGGCCTAAGTACCTCTACCTGAATCCTGCATCACCACCTAGTAGCTTTGTGACCTGAATAAATTCCAACGTTTCTTTGGACTTTAGTTTCTACTTTGTAAAATTGTTGTCAGGAATAAATGTGTTATCATTTAACACTGTTTCAGTCCTTGAAAAACCACTGCTATGGTCTTTGCCATAACTGAGTATTGCTTGAACCATTATTTTTAATATTTTTATTTAAATTATCTCACTAAAAAAAAACTTAGATGGGCACTCCCTACTTTAACCTTACCATATGCAATAATATCTGTAAAATCATGGGTTTTGTGTGTCCCATGAAATGGACTGCTGGACATATCACACTATGAAAAGCACTAGCATCCGAACGCCTGGTACATGACGCCTGGTACATGAGGGGCACATGATGTGTACCCTTCTCGTGTCTCATATGAAATTAGATCATTTGGAGGCAAAGTCTCTATAAGGTACCTGGGAAAGATAAGTCATTTATTAAAAAATAAACCATAGAAATGTAACTGGTAATTTAAAACAAAAGAAATTCCTAAGATATCACATTTTTTAAAAAATGTTTTTTGATATTTCTTTATTTCTGAGAGAAAGAGAGATGGAGAAAGAGACCAAGTATGAGCCGGGGAGGGGCAGAAAAAGAGGAAGACACAGAACCCCAAGCAAGCTCCAGGCTCTGAGCTGTCAGCACAGAGCCCGATGCAGGGCTCTAACTCACAAACTGTAAATTCATGACCTGAGCTGAAGTTGGATGCTTAACTGACTGAGACAGCCAGGTGCCCCTAAGATACTACATTATTAATAGATAATTCTTTGAACAATAACTGAAATAGGAACTTAAAGGGAGGAGAGAACATTGTGCTAGAAATGAGGAAATCTGTATTAGCCAAACCTAATCTCTAGAGCTCGGACAACATCTGGTACCTAATGGCCGCACAGTAGGTTTTCACAAAGGACTGACTGCCAGAGTGGCTAGGAAGGACTTCAAAGATGAAGTAGAAATTATGGTTGGCCTTGAAAGATGGGTAGCATGAGTCAGCAGAATAGAATGCATGTCATACTAGGAGAAAAATAAGCAAAAGTGTCTGAGATCTGAGGTGTTCTTGAGGGACAAATGAGGGATGGTAAAGATAGTAGGTAAGAAATAAAAACATACATGGAAAAGCATGGGGGTAGGAAGCCCAGGGCTGTGTGACAGGCGTGTTGGAGAGCAATGCCTGACACCACTCACTGAGGATTTGGGAAGCTAGGATACTTACAAATGCAACTGAAAATGTTAGAGGAGCCTCGATTCTCAAAGCCTTAAACATTGGGCTGAAGAGTGTTTGAATTTATTACTGTCAGCAGTTAGGGGCTGTTGAAGGGAAACAAGGAGAAAGATGGCCTTTTATCAAAGTGATGTGTTTTAAAGATTTTGTGTAGGATAGATACAAGTGGTGAGGGAAGAGACAGGGAGTAAGCAGAACAGAAAGGAGCTATTGCAATAGTTCAGGCAGGATCTGAAAAAAGCATGAACTAGTAGGGGCGCCTGGGTGGCTTAGTCGGTTAAGCATCAGACTTTCGCTTAGGTCATGATCTCGCAGTTCGTGGGTTCGAGCCCCACATCGGGCTCTGTGCTGACTGCCAGCTCAGAGCCTGGAGCCTATTTCAGAGTCTGCGTCTCCCTCTCTCTCTGACCCTCCCCTGCTCACGCTGTCTCTCTCTCTCTCTCCTAGAAATAAAAAAATTAAAAAATTAAAAAGCATGAACTAGTGTATGTGGCCATGTAAAAGAAAGAATGGATGTGAATGAATGTAACTGGAAAAGTAGAATCCATGCTTCATAATTGACTTAGGAGACTAGAACAAGGCATGAAGAAGGATTGCTAGGCGATCCCGTTCCTTGGCAAATGTATACAGACAAATGAGAAAATCATGGCAATGCACCCATTCATGCCTCAAATGATCTGCTCTTGATCCTCATTACTGGGGAGCAATATTGAGATAGACATGTTAGGAGGAATTTCAATGACCCAAGGGAGTATTTGATCCATGGAAAAGCATGTGATAGCAGAGAAGGGAGGGGCTTAGTATATAGATGAAACATAAATACACACACACACACACACACACACACATTTCTTAGTCTAACGTCTAAGGAATTTGCCAGCACAAACAAATATCTTAATTGTTTATTGCCTCAATTCTGACTAGACCTAGCATAATGTTTTGCTCTATGTTGAAATCTATTAGTTATTTTTAAGGGTTAAGGTAACCAGCCCCTGCTTGCTTCCAACTCTGCCCAACATCAGAATTAAAGATTTCACCTATAGCTTTGCTCTGCCCTATCTTTGAACCAACGAGAATTACATTTGGGGGAATATTAGAAGCCCCATCCCTACCAGTACATGAAGTTTAAAATGGCTACCCAACTTCTTGGCTAGAAGATCATTATCCAAGAGTTCCTGATGGCCTTGTCTGCTTTCTGAGCCGCATGATTCAGGCCCCCATCCGCCCCCAGGGACTGCGCCTGCTCCTTTTTGAATGGGCGTAGGTCCAGATTGACACTTCTATTAGTTTGTTAGGACTGCCATTACAAAGAACCACAGAATGGGTGGCTTAAACCACATTTTCTCACATTTGGAGTCTACAAGTCCAAGTTCAAGGTTTCTATAAGTTTGATTTCTTCTGAGGCCTCTTTTCTTGGCTTACGGGTGGCTGTTTTCTCCCTGTCACTTTGCATAGTCTTCTGGGTGTGCGTTTCCGTGTCCAAATTTCCTTTTTTTAAAATAAGAAGACCAATCATACTGGATTAGGGCCTACCTTGATGACATCATTTTAACTTAATTCCCTCTTTAAAGAACAGATCTCCAAATACAGTCACATTCTCAGGTACTGGGCTCAGGACTTCAGCATATGAATTTTGGGGGACACAGTCTTGTTCTTTACAAGGGCCAGAACCGTTCCCAGAATCCCAAATCACTAGGCTAGAGCCCTGATGACTTGCCTAACTTTAACCTCTCCCTAGAGCAATATACTTTGTCCCTGGCCTCCCGGTGGCTGAATAGGTCCTGCTTTGCTATGGCTCCGTCCACCTCACCACTTCAGTCAGCTCCTCTATGTCCCCCATCGCCCACACCTAACTGATCACAACATCCACCTGGCTCTTTAACATATCTTTATTTCATCTGCCAACTGCACGGTTGTAACTCTTAGTCCAAGATCCTGCTGCTTTTGCAGAGATGTTTACAACAGTCTCCTAACTTGCTCTTTGTTCCTAGGCTGCTTCTCCTGCCATTCATTCTTTCTAACTCATTTCACCCACAGCAGCAAATGTGATCATAAAATTTCTTTTTTTTTTTTAAGTTTTTTTAATGCTTCTATTTATTTCTGAGA